AAAAAAGGGATATAGGAAGATACTATTTTGAAGTAGTACCTTTGGAACACTCTCTTTTCCAGTCTATTAGAGTGAGAGACTTACTTATCCCACATCTAAACAAAAAAGCCCAAACCAAAAAAGAAGCAACAACCAACAGAGCAGACTTGGGTAATACCCACTATCCAAGTGCTAGGTTTTGCAGACACAGCTGTTGTGTCCTCCTTTGCTATGTGTGAACGGTGGGAACTTCGAGGCAAAGAAAACCCCAGTCAGAAATATAATATTTCTCTCTTAATTTGAGATCATGACAACGTAGGGAGGAGAAGTTTTGTAGATCAAATTTTTATAATTTCTGCTGCTTTCCTAGGTTCTCCAATACTGATGTGAATTTCAGTGGTTCTGAGAATGCCTAAAATAAAAATGCTGAAAATATGCAGGTTTTCAATATGTTTCTACAACAGGTGCAGCAAGGGCAATGACCTTGTGAAACTTCTTGCTCTGTGCTGTTCCTGTGTACTACAGAGAATCTCCTCATTACATATGAAAGAGCACATGTATCTCTCTCCCATTGTATTCAGCCAAAGATGCTGCTGGGTGCTGACATCTCTGCTGTGAATAGACTTCTCTCTGGCAACCATTGATAGCTGTAATGCTGTACTCAATGCAAAGTACTAGGCATGCCAGTTTTTGAATGTTCTACTTGGCTGGGTATTTGTAATCATGGGGAGTAGACAAGGACAGGCAGTGAAAAGTGCACTAGGCTTTACACTTGCTCTGCTGCGCTGTGTCCGTGGACTTTAGAAATCTACAATGAGTTGTGCAAAGATGAGCGGTGGTAATCAAGTTGTAGCTGCTGGGTGGGAGAGGTGCTGCTTCAGCATACCTGCTTGTTTCCTCCCGTGAGCAATGGCAAGTCTCATCCCTCCTTCCATCTGCTTCTCTGTTAGTGAACTCCCCTTTCTTTTGCCACTCTCCATTCCATATCTGGCATTTAATGCTCATTTCATTTGATTTGGAATCTCTCGCAGCCCTTTCATTTCCCCTCTTGATCTCTCCATGTGCCACTAGCCTGTAGGTTCCCTCACCCTTCAATGAGAACAGCCAGGAGATTTTTTCGTTCTTAAGGGTTTTGATTTATTAAGTACAGAAGCCAGTGTAAAAATCTGCAGAAAAGACTTCTCATTCTTTACAGAAGTCTGCAGAAAAGGCCACTCATTCTTTATAAACTTTAAAATCTTCATCAGAAATTTGTTCCAGAAACTGGGTGGAAAAAGTAAACTAATCCTGGTGATTGATCAGTTATGAGAAATGCCAGTTTCATAAGCCTACCTCTCCTTGGCTCCAGCTGGGCAATAGATTGAAATGGTATTCCTCACATAATATGTGACATTACTGTGGAAATTACTGTGTGGAATCAGTATATGCTCTGCTGGGTTCTACACTAGGATTCTGTGTTTTAATGGAAAACACAAATGCACTTCCGAAAGTGCCATAAAATGCAGACTGAAAGAAAATTTTAGTTAGGGATCATGACTCAATTCTGAGTTAGATTTCTTTACTTTTTTTTAATTATATGGTAGAAGAATGTGACTTTTAGACTTTTAAGATTCTTTAATACCATTAAACGTCTACATAATTTTTTGAGAGATACTTTCTTCTGTTTTTGATGCCAGAAACTTTTATTATAAACCCCTTACAAACATCATCTAGGCCTCAGAACGTAGCATTGCTTTTAACTACCACTGATACTACAAATCATTATTTGAAATGGCTTTAGTCAGAACATAGTAACAGAATAGTTGGTCCATTGACTTGTACATGCTCTGAAGATAAGATAATATTCCATTGCTTGTTGTTTTTTCAAAAATATTTAAATGACTTTGACTCATTAATGTATTTTAAAGCCTGACTGAATATCCTGGATTGAGAGAACTGAACTCAATACTATTTAGCTGAAGCAGAGGGGAGTACTTGATGCACCAAATGCATAGTTTACCAAAATTTAGCAGTGAACAAGGACTAGAGTTTCAGCTTCATTTGAAAAAAAGAATAATTAAACTCACCAGTGATATAGTGGGGTGAAGGAGGTGGGGAAGAGTCGTCTTTTAATCCCTGATCTTGCAAAGGCTTCTGCTGAAATTTATGCAATGCAGTTAATAAGGAACAAATTGTGTTCCCATATAAATTTATGTAGGAATTTAGTGTGCAAATTGAGTTTCATATTTAATAAAGTAAAATACTGTGACCTATAATATCTTTTTGGCTATTTGAATAAATTTGTTCTGCATTCTCTAAGTCTTGGTTTATGTTATTTTTACTATATTACATCAATTTTTAATCATGATTTTTGAAGTTGAGTTTATATAGATGGAGTAAAAACTACTTTTGGCAGGCTGTACAAAGTAAATCTTAGTACAAATAATGTAACAAGGAAGAATACACACCAGCTAAATAATTGATGGTATGATTGTGAAACCTCTCTTGTTCCACAGCAGTAATCCTATAGTTTTAGAATGCTCTCTAGTAGAAGTAATAGAATTCAAGTAATTCTAAACTTTGTAATCTTGCCCTCAAGGATCATGTTTTCAGTATTATTTACTAGAAGCATGTACCGTGGGAAGATATTTGCGAAGTCTATGACAAGGTAACAGCTGAAGCTAAAAGGTCAACAAATTCCTCGGTTTAGTATGGATGATGCCTGCATCTGCAGACAGTGTAATTGTCTCAGAGTTTACAAAGGTTAGACAACTGTTCTCTTTCCAGCTTGAAGGTTTGTGTTTTTCAGAGCAGTTCTACATAAAAACAACAAAAACATCTTGCAAGTTAATACAGTCAACTTTGAAAATGCTGACAATTTTAAATCCCAGGAGTTTTATGTATATATGTATATATTTATGTTATATATTTTCTTTCCTTCCTACTGTAAGCTTTTTCTGCACTAGAATTACTAAATAGATGGATATGTAGGAATCAAGCATTGTTCCTGAAAGTCTGCTACGCATTGAATTCTCAATAAGAGCCATGGATATCTTGAAGAACTGTGTTCATGGTAATAAAAGTTTACACCAATGTGAAGTTCTGCAGCAAAATTATTTTACTGTGTGACATTTTTGCTGGAAATAACAATACACTTCAAATAGGTTATAAAATGGATAGTTGTTTTCATAGGGAAAATGGTTAGTCCTGATTTTTTGCACTTACTTGCATTGCTTACCTGTTGCCTCTGTGATGTTCAGTAGACCTAGGTGAATTTTTTATTACAAGTAATTAAAGTCGGCTAATTTTGTCATCCCACCAGTCTTTGCTTGTAGGAGTTCTGAGAGACACTGATAGTTTTCTTGACTGTACTTCTGACTTACAGTTATTTAATATTTCATGTCAGTGGATAATTTTTGTTCTTTAACTTGTCTGAAAGCAGTTTATTTCAAGTCCTCACAATGTAAAATCAACCCTTGCCTAGACAGAGTTTGTTGTAAGATGAATCAAAGTCTTGAAGTCTTTCTGAAGCTGTGTTAATTTTAGTAGTCTGTAGGCTATCTGAGTCTCTGTTCACTGCAAGATTAAAGCTACCTGACTGCGTACATAAAACACTCAGAATCTACGCTGGACCTCAAGTGTAGTCTGATTACAAATTTGGCACACACTTCACAAAAATGCAATATATGCATCACGTTTTCTGTTTCAGTGATCATTTATGCCTAAATATTCATTTATTGTCACTCATAAATAATGAAAACAAGTGCTTTGCAAACATGACTAAGCTTAAATATTATTGATATGCAAATATTAATGTAATATGTTCTGCACAGTTTATCCAAGCATCATTGACCAGATTTGTCTGGTAAGCATAGCACTTGGAAGTATAATTTTAAGCAAAGTGACATTTTATTTATATGTTAAATTACACAAATATTTTTTGTATCTTCTGTATAGAAATTTTAAAAAGTAACATTATAAAATAGTGACTACAAATTAAAAGAAACTTGCTGAAAGAACTCTTTAATTCCATTAAAGATCCACGTTGTAATGCTTTTTGGTGTTCAGAGCACAACTTTGTTCTCTTGGTTTGTTCAAAAATTGCTCAAATCCTTATGACAGAAAACTGCTCCATCCAGCATGCAATTTCTCAGTTCTGGTCAGCACTGTACAATATGAGCCTTTTTATAACATAGCAGCTGTTTCCAGTTTGTTGTGCCAGAGCCTCTTAAAAAAGTGTCTTTCAAAGCATCAACACCTGATGACTTCACTGGAACTTAAACTTGTATTTTACATTACATAACTGGACTCTGATGTAAGAGAAATAAAACACCTTAGTTTTAAGTTGTCTTATCCTAACAGAAAACTAGACGTTGTGCAGAAACAAATAAAAATAAAGGTCTGGCTGTACAAAGGTTACAATCGCATTAAAATGTGCCACAGTGATTCTCTGTGACAAGAAAACATGAAAGAATCATGGGATAAGAGAGCAGTGAAAAGAATCTCAAGTAAATATGCAAATGTTTAAGAACATTTCATGGTCCTTAAGATGTCAGAAGATGGTCTATGAGATGACTGCAAACATCCAACCCTTCACCCTTCCTGCCAATTCATGTTTATTTCTGAAGAGAATTAAGAGAGAAAAGAAAGTGGAAGTAAAACTGTCAACCTTTAAGCTAATTAGTTGTTGGTTGAAAATGAAAAAATTTGTGGCAGTGTTTTTTCTTAAAAGAAGTTACTTATTCCTCCACTTGAAAAAAGTTGATATATAATGTCTAGAAAATCACTAGATGAAAATTATGAAAACGGAACTAGATGTAGGTGATAATTACATTAGAATACAAGATGTAGATGGAGGTGAAAATCTGACTTGATTATAGCTGAGACCTGTGCATATTTTTGTCTCGTTTCTGAAGCTTACAAGATAATCACAGTACTTGAAGGATTGAGAAGGGTTGACTGGATTGGTAAAGTTGACGAGGAATGTTTTAGGTATTTTAGATTGACAATTTATTTTTAATTATTCTTTTCTTTTTCCATAGGGATGCCCTCTGTTTCTTTATTAGTTTATTTGCTTTTAGCATTACTCATTCATTTCACATCTGGAGAAACAGAAGTGAAGTTCAGTGGACAAACAGAATTTGTAGTTAATGAAACAAGTACAACTGTTATACGTCTTGTAATTGAAAGGACAGGGATGCCTGCTAACATCACAGCAATTGTGTCGGTAAGAAACTATGCCAGTTATATTCTGAGTAAATATTAATATCTTTCTGAAGTTTTGAATGTTGCCTATGTTTTTGTCACGCCAGTGAAAAGGAGGGTGGTATTTCACTGGGACTATGCTTCACTATGAAGAAGCAACACCC